TTACACTGGCATTGGGCAGACTTGCAATTGAGCATTTTGTTGAACGATGTCAAGATGTGTCATCGTTTTAACAAACTTCAATATAAGTTCCATATTTATTTATTTCGTGCTACGCATTCTAAGCCTGGCTGAGCACCGCGTTACCTCTTCGTGGAAAGAAATTAAATTACCCAAAGCGCGAGCAGAGCCCTTGCTAGCCGGTGTCGCAGCCACGCGCTCCGAGTGAGACTTTCATATTGCGGCACACTGTACTTGAATTGTGCAAAAAAAATGAGGGGCAATGTAAGCTCGGCTTATGGAAGTACTTTGAAGTTAAAAAATCAATTGGTCACATTACAAGATTTATTATTTGAGACTTACAGTCAGGTGTGTGTGCTATTTTAATATGATGCTGGTGTTTTTACAGGGGACATACTCCATCGTCCTTATGGCCATCGTCGACAGCGGCTATAGCTTCGTTGTCGTAGATGTTGGTGCCTATGGGAAGCAAAGCGATAGGGGAGTCCTCAAACAGTCAGTTTTCGGGAAGCTGCTGGAACAGGGGCGCCTCGGGCTGCCAAGCGATCAGCTGCTACCCAAGACCAAGCTGCCTGCTCCATGCGTCTTCGTCGGGGACGAAGCGTTTCAGCTGAGGTCGGATTTCCTCAGGCCTTACCCTGGGCGCGGTCTCGAGGATAACGAACGAATCTTCAACTACCACCTGAACCGAGCAAGGTAAAAGAACCTACTAGCCTGATGCCTCATCAATAAACGTCTTTAAGCAAGGTCTTCTCTAATCACAACCATATATATCAACCAATAGAAATATGCTCCCTTTTTACCTGGCAATGCTCCTAGCCATCTAAAGATTTGAACCATATTCGAGTTTGGAAAATGATTAAAAGTGTTTCTACCATTATATCAAAAATTTTAAATTTGTCATCTCTATGAAAGGTGCTGTGACATGCATGAAATCGCATGGGGGAAGTTGAATGGCATTTTAAACGACACTGAACCAGAATTACGAATACAGTAATAATGGGGGCGAGAATGCTGAGCTAAGAATTGAATGCGACGCTGCTGTTGTCGCTCTTGAGCTGGCAGGGCAGCGAAGGATTGGAGTGTTTTTGGAAATCCCCATCTCTAGTTCATACTTTAAAGTAGGCATCAAAGATGTGATTTCACATTATAGCCCTTGTTTCAATGTAGGCTTATGCAAAAGTCTCGTTTTTTTAGGTTCATTGCACCACGAGTAATCATATCGTGCACTCTTTTTGTTGCACAGGATTGCAGCATACCTGTCAAAATAGTGACATTTTATTTTTATCTTTTAATTTAAGGGGAAACTTTGCTCAATTTCTACACTTTTTGGTTCAACTAAGTCGTCGAACCTGAATCCCGAGATGTAATTTGTTTTTCGGTAGTCTCTTTAGTTTTTTTTAAATATGTGGTGTTTAAGTTTTGTTTTGGAGCTTACGGAAAGACCAAAATTACCTCCTCCAGCATGTAACATTGGTGGTGACGTCGCTTTCGTGCTGCTTCTACCACCGCCTCTGCTACAGAAGCTGGGCTACTTATTAGCCTGCCGGCTGCCGGTGCTCTCTGCATCCGCTGAGGAAGTGCCTTGCACTGATACTCATAGTTAGCACTCATTCCTAAACGAAGTGCGGCTTTTGCGACTTTTCACCATTGTCAGCATTCTCTCGGCATCCTGTTTGTGGTTGTGGTAAGCACCGCTTCTATCATCACTCGGGATTTCTCCCCTCCGAAGTGCTTGGCACACTAGTCAGTATTGTGACCTCTGTTCGTGTCACCAGTCGGAATAGCAGCGTTGTGGTATGTTGACACTTGCGACGAATCCACCGACGCCAACATGGATTCAGCTGCAAGGATGCATAAGGACACTAAGCCAAACATCCCTGTGCAGGAAGAACATGAAACTGACGTCGCAGTTCCCGCGCTGTGGCCTGAAAAGGCTGGTTTGCTGACGGCCCGCTAAAATATTGTTAATGTTATGTTTACTATCGGCTTTAGTAGGGACTGCAGTGTTGGTCCAGCATAAATTTTGTCTATGGCTGGATCTTGTCGCATTAAACTGATATCCCTAATTTGTTTTGATAAGACCTTTCAGCAGAGTTCCCTTTAAGGAACTATATAGCATGCTAAATGCCGTTTTTATACATGGAATATAATATTGCTATGACCACCATTCCGACAAATAATCGAGACCTCTTTGTTTCATTGGATATTAGAGTCTTCATGAAATTTTTTTATACATGATTCTATAACTAAGTCTGAATATGACATTCACCAGTAACATTTTAGTCATTTCCGATTCATCCCATGAACTTGGTAAATATTGTATATAGAAAGTTTCGTTGCTAGATCACTCTTGCAGCAGACGAAATTTCTAAAACTACACACTTCTACATGTATAAATTTACATTTCGTTGTCATCTATAGTCTGTTGCAACTCAAGAAGGTGGGGCGAGGGTAAGACGGGCTGGGGAGGAGGAAGCAGACGGAATGCTGAAGAAGAGAGGGGGAACCTCCTTCTCTCTTTAGCGTTCCGTCTGCTTCCTCCTCACCAGCCCGTCTTACCTTCGCCCTACCTTCTTGAGTTGCAACAGTCTGCCTCTCAAACCAAACTCATGATCCTTTTTCTATTTCGTTCAACTTTCAAAACAAAAAGAAGATGCGCCGAAAATGCCTTCGGTATCCTGGTGACGCGATTGAGGATCCTGAAAAGGAAGCTGGGGGAACAGCCCCAACATGCCGAAGAGCTGGTGAAGGCACTTTGTGTGCTCCACAATTTCCTGATGGCACAGAACAAAGGCAATGAAAATGCCTGCTGTGGTCCTGGCTACGCGGATTCCATGAATGGGGTTGGGGGAAGACATGGCGAACAGTGGCGCCAAGACTTCAGTCAGCTGCCCCTCCAGCTTGTTCGGACTCTTGCAAGGAACTTTTTCTCTCATGTGGCTCGAGGTGTCAGGGACCTCTACAAGGACTACTTCAGTAGTTCTGCTGGCAATGTCTCGTGGCAGCAGGCAGTCCGGCAGCGCTAATCTAGAGGGATTGAATTCAGTGCTGCCTTCCACCAGTCTTTTTTTATGTAGAGGCTGTATTTAAACACAAAAACCCTTCTAACATCCGTGGTGCTAGTATTTTTTTAATGTAAGACTATTTTCAATTTCACCATTCAATGCAACTTTGTAATGTCATTTAAGGTTTTTATTTTTAAATGAAAAAGTATAGGTTGTAAAGTTGTTTGCGTGTTTTTTTTAGGTATGGAAGTTCAGCACTTGCCTTATATTAGAGTGCTCTAGGAAGCTATCTTACTTGCACTTTAACTTTGACTTTAACATTGTAATAAAGACAGCAGTGATGGAAGTGCTGCGCCAAATTGCAAAGTTAACGAAAGTCTGCTACATCTTGCACTGAAATGGACATAAAGCAAAAAAATAATGGGTTGATTTTAAAAATCAGAGCAGTAGAGGGAACAAAAATTTTACAAATATTAATTTCATGCAGGGGTGGATTCAGAACTCCGGTTTTTGGGGGGGAGGGGCGGAAAATTTGTAAGGATACTATTCTCCCATTCTTTCGTGTGCACCGGGGGGTCCACCCATGTCAAATTGCCCTCCGAGAAGGGGTGGGGGGGGGGGGGGCGCCCTTGTCGCCCCCCCCCCCCCCCCCTTGGATCTGTTCCTCATTTTACGACATCTCTACTCACCTTATAGTAATTTGTTTCGTCTTGGGTCAGAACACAGTCAAAAGCTCAAAACACATACTAAAAGCGCAGGTCACGGGACATTCACTGCATTTGATATGTATAGTCAATGAAAGAACTCGTACAAGGAGGTGATGAATGCCACGATGTCATGCTTTGATGCTGTGAATAAGCCGCTCTGGCCGGTTGATCGCTGACATTGTCTAAATCTCCACACGATGTCCTCGATGTCAGGAATGAGGGTCCCGAGAAAACTTTTGCAAAATATAGTAGGATTGCAGATCGTGGCTACCATGATAAAAACACAACCAGAGTCTTGTACTCCTAATAAGACCGCTCGACTATCATGTCTGCCACACCCCTTTGTTCCGTAACTATAGAGTACCATGGCACTTGCGCCGCTCGTGTCAACCTTAACCTCTCACCACCGTGCGCGAGTCGAGCTTCACCGCTTTGCACCAGAGTGCTAGGAGCAGCGCCTGACCTGGAGGAGCGCCTGGGTTAGCGCAATTGGCGCGCAAATTATGCTTATGATTATTACAGATCGAACTTCTTTGTCGTAATTGTAAGTTAATCTATAATTAAAAAAATATACAGCAGAGAAAGAGAGAAGAAAACAAGGGTCTATATATATATATTTGAATAAATGCGGTAGTCACGGTAGTTCCCGTGCAGCTGTCGATTGAAAGAGCAGCGAACTTTGACGTAACTCTGGTTCCTACTCCGCTAAAGAGCAGTCTCACCTTTAAAGCGAAAGTGTAGGCTTTTATGTTTTTGAGTGGTTGTTTTTGCAGTTCATGATATAAGAGTTTTGAGTAATTTAGATTCATTAAGCTTGTGGGACACATTTTTATTGGTAGACATGTTAGTGGATGATCCTGTTCTTGCTGGCATTTTACAGAAATTATATTTACAGGCTTAACAAGCTACCGAGTGTAAAATGAAGAGGGGAGAGAGGAGTTATCCTAATGAAGTGTAGCGCTACGATTCCCCTTTTAACCATTTTTTAACACCCATTGTAAATGAAACCTACTTTGACTAGAGCCTTCTCTAAGAGAGCTGTGTTCCTTTTATGCTCCACCTATGCTTATCAGAAAGGTATCAAGTAATATGCTCTAGTAGTACTAAAGAGGAAGCCTTGACTCATTGAGATGCAATCACTTTTTCGTTCTCAAGTGATGTGCTAACAGATGTTGGCATCTGCTCCAAAAGCATCAGTGGCTGCTCCGAACCGATATTTTGCCTGCTACAAAAAGTCAAATGCCCCTTCCATCACTGAGACAGTTTGTTTCAAATCATGATTTTATTGCATATTTTTTTCTTTCTGTACAGCACAAAATAGTAAATGAATTTACAGGAAGACTAGTAGGGAAGATTGGGCATTATCTGTCGGTGTTTTATGACAGTGTCTTGCTGAGGTGTATGGCAGGAATCATGTTTCTAGTTGTGCCGTGTCAAAGGGCGATGTTAATAGTTTGACATTTTAAATGTGTATATATTACTTTTAGTGCTGAGGCCCGCACACCGTCGAAAGGGTGGTTGGGATATTCCCCATTCGGTACTGCGTGAGCACTTCGATAAAATGAATTTTGTAGTACCCCTGCAGGTGCTTGGGCACTTCGTCCATCGTGTCTACGAGTGATAAAAAAATGCTCTGTGGCTGTTGTCTTGAACGAGTGCATCAGTGTTGTCCTTTTTTTCTGTGGCTTTGGTCGGTGTGTGCTGGGTGAGGGGGCAGGGGCTTGGGAAAGGGCAGCAGAAATAGATCTAGGGGAAGGCAGGAGGTTGTGTGAATTAGGGATGGAGGCTTGATAGCAATCAGTAGTGGCATAGCGTAAAGTAGGGAGAGAGCAAGTAGACAAGAGGGGAAGGGGGGAGGATGCAGGCATGTTGACCATTGTCAGCAGAAGCTCTGATGGTGCTTCCTCCAACTCCTCTTCGTACCCATTTAGGACATCATCAATGGAGTCCTCGTGGACGCTGTCCATATTGCTGGTTGTCCTAGAATTTAGTGGACAACAAAAACCATTATGTGTACGTTGAAATATTTGCAGAAACATATACAAAAAGTTGGGAAATCCTCGAAGTAAGCAATTAATCTCTTTCAGCCACACTGGAAGGGCAAGAAAATATACGTACGGGCGTGGCTCCACGAAGTCCCGCAGGAATAGCAAATCTTTAGAATGCTGCCAGCAGGACTGCGGTTCACCGGCACCTGCGCCACTCCTTTTTTTTTTTGCTATCCCACAGACGCTTCCCGAAGGTGTCGCGGAGATTCCGCCACCACCCAGTGACAGCCTTAACGTCGTCTGTAAAAAAAAAAAAAGAAAAAAAGTTGATTATGTAAGTTTTTTTTAACAAGCTGATTTCAAAGCTTGGCACAATAGCAATAACCAAAAGCACATTTCGCGGGAGTCGCGTGCAGCCTAGTAAGCGCAACAAATTGTGTCCAATTGAGTTAATATACGCACTCAACTTTTCAGCGTTTGAGCAACTTTACTATCAGGGAAATGAGGAAGGGCATGCGATCATTGATACTCTAATTAATGGTGGATCGTTTCGTCGACAACTTTTGATCCAAACACTTTTCATAAAAAAAAACCTTTTGTCGACACATGTTTCGTGGAAAGTCGCTCCGCCGATAATATATATTCTTTCGCTCTATGGATTAGCCGCGAGGCCTAAACATCTAGAGAAGTACAGGCCGGCCCGCGTGCATTGCCGAGGTTGGTAAGGGTTTGTGTTAATGAAAGGCTTAGGGAGCACCGTGCCTCTCTTCGAGCGACTCCGTCGGGCCACCTGGCTGTCCACTGTCACAGGTGCGGCTGCTCTCCAGCGTTCGGTGACAAATGTTTTGGGCACGTATAAAGAACAGAGGGCGAGAGAGATCTTGGAGGCCTTTCAGATAGCTTCTCGGGGAGAGGGATGCATAAGCCAACCCTCCCTTGCATTGACTCAGGCCGAGTTGGCGTTTCTAAAGACACGACACGTGTCAACACGTAAACATCGTGATTTTACAGTTTTTAAGATGTTTAGTTTGACAACAAGGCGCTGCGGTGCGCATGAGCGATTGGGGGGGGGGGGGGGGGGGAGGGGGGGGGGGATGCTTTTTGTGTTTTCTGAGGTTCCAATAAAACCTATCAGTTGCGAGTGAGCGTTCGTCCGTCGTTTGTGTTTCTTACTCTGTCCTCGTCGTTTGTGCGCTTTTAAAACCAAGAAGAAGTTGGTAAGCACTCCTGATAATGAAAAACAAACAAAAACGAAGCTGTCAATGAAACAAATGCGCGATCGTTTCGGAGAAAAGATTTGTCAATCAAGCAGCGCAGTGTCGACGCAACCAACTGTCGATAAACGTCGTTCGATAGACCTGTCCTATCCAAAGCGGCTCGTGCGAAGACGACATCGGCGTTCTTTGTTATTAGACTGACACTGCTAAGATATTGATCACCGACTTTGGCTACATGAGTGGACACTTTTCTGGTGGTAATCACAGCCTGTATCTAGGTGAGGAAAGGAAACAAAACCGCGAGCGCCGTCGAGACGTATATTATTGGCCGTGTACGTACCATCAGTTCCCTGCTTGCCCAAGCCTTTGGCAACGGAGATCCATGTCTCGCGCTTCATGTGTGTCAGCAGTCCTTCTGTTGCCTTATCAAGAAAGGAGGTTAATTGGCTGGCCTCTTAATTAGCTTCGTTTAAGCGCGTCCCTTACAAAAATGATCAATGAGTTTGAATTGACTTTCTACTGTGTTCCTATAGAGTCAATTGAAGCTCAGTATAACCTCAACGTCTAATGAGTTTGATCATTAGAAACTCAATATCGATTCTATTGATATTACTCATTAGGAATGCAATTGAGTTTGATCATTAGAAAACCAATATCGATTCTATTGATTTTACTTATTAGGAATGCAATTGAGCCTGATCATTAGATAATCAATATCAATTCAATTGATTTCACTCATTAGGAATGCAATTGAGTTTGATCATTAGAAAATCAATATCGATTCTATTGATTTCACTCATTAGGAATGCAATTGAGTTTGATCATTAGAAAATCAATATCGATTCTATTGATATTACTCATTAGGAGTGCAATTGAGTTTGATCATTAGAAAATCAATATCGATTCTATTTATATTACTTATTAGGAATGCAATTGAGTTTGATCATTAGAAAATCAATATCGATTCTATTAATATTACTCATTAGGAATGCAATTGAGTTTGATCATTAGAAAATCAATATCGATTCTATTGATATTACTTATTAGGAATGCAATTGAGTTTGATCATTAGAAAATCAATATCGATTCTATTGATATTACTCATTAGGAATGCAATTGAGTTTGATCATTAGAAAATCAATATCGATTCTATTGATTTTACTTAGTAGGAATGCAATTGAGTTTGATCATTAGAAAATCAATATCGATTCTATTCATTTCACTCATTAGGAATGCAATTGAGCTTGATCATTAGAAAATCAATATCGATTCTATTGATATCACTTATTAGGAATGCAATTGAGTTTGATCATTAGAAAATCAATATCAATTCAATTGATTTCACTCATTAGAAATGCAATTGAGTTTGATCATTAGAAAATCAATATCGATTCTATTGATTTCACTCATTAGGAATGCAATTGAGTTTGATCATTAGAAAATCAATATCGATTCTATCGATATTACTCATTAGGAATGCAATTGAGTTTGATCATTAGAAACTCAATATCGATTCTATTGATATTACTTATTAGGAATGCAATTGAGTTTTATCATTAGAAAATCAATATGAATTCAATTGATTTCACTCATTAGGAATGTAATTGAGTTTGATCATTAGAAAATCAATATCGATTCTATTGATTTCACTCATTAGGAATGCAATTGAGTTTGATCATTAGAAAATCAATATCGATTCTATTGATATTACTCATTAGGAATGCAATTGAGTTTGATCATTAGAAAATCAATATCGATTCTATTGATTTCACTCATTAGGAATGCAATTGAGTTTGATCATTAGAAAATCAATATCGATTCTATTGATATTACTCATTAGGAATGCAATTGAGTTTGATCATTAGAAAATCAATATCGATTCTACTGATATTACTCATTAGGAATGCAATTGAGTTTGATCATTAGAAAATCAATATCGATTCTACTGATTATACTCATTAAGAATGCAGGTGAGACTGATCATAAGAAACTCAATATCGATTCTACTGATTTTACTCATTAGGAATGCAATGGAGTTTGATTATTAGAAACTCAATATCGATTCTAATGAATTTACTCATTAGGAATGCAATTGAGTTTGATCATTAGAAAATCAATATCGATTCTATTGATTTCACTCATTAGGAATGCAATTGAGTTTGATCATTAGAAAATCAATATCGATTCTACTGATATTACTCATTAGGAATGCAATTGAGTTTGATCATTAGAAAATCAATATCGATTCTATTGATTTCACTCATTAGGAATGCAATTGAGTTTGATCATCAGAAAATCAATATCGATTCTATTGATAATACTCATTAGGAATGCAATTGAGTTTGATCATTAGAAAATCAATATCGATTCTATTGATATTACTCATTAGAAATGCAATTGAGTTTGATCATTAGAAAATCAATATCGATTCTACTGATTATACTAATTAAGAATGCAAGTGAGACTGATCATAAGAAACTCAATATCGATTCTACTGATTTTACTCATTAGGAATGCAATGGAGTTTGATTATTAGAAACTCAATATCGATTCTAATGAATTTACTCATTAGGAATGCAATTGAGTTTGCTCCATTGTGAACTCGACATACATATATTCCTTTGAATTTAATCATTAAGGATGCAATGGAGTTTGCTCATCATGATGAATGCAATATCCATGATGCAAACGAGTTTTATCGTCAAGAACTCGATATTATTTTCAATTAACTTATTTGCAAAAACGTTTATCATTAAGAGGTCAATATTTTTTTAGAGTTTACTCATTAGATATATAAATGAGTTTCATCATTCATTATTTTGAGCTTAGTCACTGGACATGCACTGGAGTTTAATCACTTGCAACAGACATTTCTTTGTCTCCTCAATAGAGATTCAAAAGAGTTTTTATCAATGAGTAGTTGACATCAGCTGGTTTGTGCTTTCTGCTCTAGAGGACCCCAGCAAGGGTACCCTGCAAAAAAAACCAATACACCACTGAGAGCCTATAGCTTGCATTATAAAAGCTCTAAGGTCACTGACAAAGTGAGAACAAGGAGGAGCTTCAGTTGTCTCCCCTTAAGCTTGAATCTGCCCCTCGAAAATGCTTCAACATCTCGTGCACATCCAGCACGCGCATACTGCCAAAGCATGATGGAAGGCATAGAGCGCGCGCTGAAGGCCGGGTGTTTGAAAGACACGCCATGCCGTTCTCGCTCAGTCTGTGAAAATAGTAGCATCATTGAGTTTATATTCTAGTCACTTCGTAAAGAAAGGAAACAATAGAAATATTTAAAAGCGAACAACTCTCATGCCTCATTTATGCAGAAAAGCGATAACACACCGGCCAGCGTTATTAAAAGCAGCAGACACATCGGCTGATTTCCATTCTTTGGAGTGGGAACCCACCAAAAACAATAGTGAAAAAAAACAAAAAAAAGCATGAATTTACACTGTGCATTAGGCAGGACAAACAAATTTGTTCAGATGCATCGAAAACATTTATTCACAACTTTACACAATTCATTGTCAGCCAGAATACAGCTAATGCGCTTTATTGGGGGCTGCAAAGTCGCACACAGATGAAGCAATGAACCTGGCTTACAATATTCTAGATACAAAGTGCGCACATTCTTTATCACAGCAATGGTACAGCAGCTATCAACTTCTGCACAAAAAGGTCAAGCCAGCTCCGGTCCAGCCTTCATTGCTTAGGAATGTAAATAAATCTTAAGGTTTACATATACCACTAGATGTATGACACTGAGTGAATTCATGAGTATAATGCTGTGAAGTTCCATTTTTACATACAAATTAACCCCTTCCAAGCAGCCATATTTTATGCTGCCCATGAAGGAGTAAGCAGCTACCTTAAAATAAACCAAGAATTGATTTGGTGTTTGAACTTCACTAACTTCTTATCAGTTAACGGAGAAAACAAATCTATAGCACAGGAGGTAAGGGAAATTGCACTGTAAAATTAAAAACAAAAAACAAAAACAAAAACACGCTATTTTCGTTCTTTTATTCTTTAAAAAGCTTTCTGCCCGTGATACAAATAGAGAATACCGGCCTTAATTAGCTTAGAAATTGGATATGAGTTTTCTAAACAAAATTAAGAGGATTGAAAACAATTAAACCAACCCTAGAACAACTTTTGTTGCTTCAGGATATAAACCCTGAATTTTCATAGCATGAAACAGTACAGCAACAGAAGAAAAAAAATAACGGAAGACCAGAGACACTGCACTGACTCCCACCTGTCATATTAAATAGAAATATATATTAAAATAAAGACAGAAGAAAAAACTATGCCACAGAAAAACACAAAAAATAAAAATGCTCCATTAAGCACCAGTGCAGAGACAAGATGTGACACACATGCCAGAGATATTCCAAGTCAGATTGTGCCTTGGGATAAGGTAACTTGTTCAAAATACAAATGTGCAATTGTCGTTTATGATTGTGGTCGATCCTACCAAAACGTCCCTAGCAAGTGCCCACTTCAAATTTGGAGATAATTGCAAAAAACTGGAAGATGGGTGCTTCTTTGGTCATCAATATGCAGATGCATGCCTTGCGTATTTCCCAACTATTACGAAATTGAGGGGTGGTACTTATCGTGGCATGGTTTTTATCATGGTTTATCATGGCTTGGATTTCAGTATTTTACGGTACTTGACTGTTGGTGATCAAAATATGTTCAGTCGGAACTAGAAGAAACACGAATAGCGGGTGCATGGTTTTTGACCTATGCTGCATCACCTAAAGGCATGACGACGAAATTTGATATGCACTGAGCGAGAACTTAAGACATCAAAGGTGGAGCTGCACATTCCCAGCCGCAACCTACCATAAAATCCCGAGATAGCCCACCTAACACCAACCGCGAATCAGCTGAAAATATGGAGTGGGCTAACTTTCAATGTAGATTCTAGAAAAGTTTGAAAAAAATTGCTATTTTTAGGTGGTGTCGCTTCCAAGCTTGTAATGGTGGTGAGGGGCAACGAAGCAAAGATGACTGTACTTCCCAGTCAGCAGCATTCGCTTATATCCCACCACAGTGAACAAGCCGCATGTATGACGAGGCCCTCATTGATCCCAGCAGTACTATTATTAGGAGTGGGCTGTGTTTCGGCGTTTAAAAAAATATAACAAATCAAGCCAAAAATAGGGATGCGCCATCTTTCAGGGTTGGGGCATCTCCCGGGATTTTACTAGTGCAGGCGTGCAGCATCTTCTGAAAATCAAGCACGGTCTGTTCGCATTTCGTTTTGAGTCAACTGTGCATTTAAGTTTTCACTTCATTACCCATTTATGGTTTTCTTTTGTCATTTTCTTCTGGCTAAAACAAGGAATCTGGTAAACACCCAGAACTGCACGTGAGTTTATGCAGACTCTAGCACAAACGTTTCCCTTACAGTGGCTGAGTAAGTGTGAGGAGGACAGCAGAGACACACACACTTTTGTACAGACAACTGAAAAAATTTACCCTCACTGAACCTACTCAGTACGTTGTTTTGAACATGTTGTGCTCTTACATACAAATCAACTTCCTTTAAGCAATCACATTTTGTCTGGTCTTTCGAGCAGTAGGCGACCATCTTAGTAATGCGACCAAAGACACCATCTGCCACAACGTAAGAATTATTCCTCCGAGATTTGTCCAGTTCAGCAGTGCAGAGCTTAAAACACCCAATTTCAATCTTTTTGTACTGTCTCCCAACATCCCTAACTTGTCCCTTCCCATAAAAATGAATGAGGCCATTGCGCGTGTACTGGACTTTCAAGTTATATCCCTTCAGCAGGGCCTTAAATAAGTGGCCTATTTCCCCCCTCTCCCATTTGATGAGATGTAGATCTCCAAAGTCTTGGTAAGGCCTGGAGCAAAGAAAACTTGTCCACAATTTGCAAATGTGGATAACGAGTTCCCTTCACAAGCCGCCCCAGTTTTCCATTAATGGACTCGAAGGGGTATAACGAGTAGCCCCAAGGCGGGCCCCACTCCATTGCACTATCGACAAGATGTATGAGCAGGTGCGTGTTGTATGTAACATGCTCTTTGCCGTACAACCCCTGATACTTCTGAACAAAACCAAACATGGTGACCCTAAGGTCTCGGAGCTTTTGGATACAAAGTGATGGACCTAACAGGTACTCCATGATCTCAACAAACTGCATCCAATGGTTGAAATATTTCGAAGTAAGGATTCCTTTCAAAACTACAGGGGAGTAGTACAGCAGCCAGTTTCTCCATTCCGACGATTTCCACTCTTTCATGACATTCAGGGATCTGGGCAGCCTTGACATTTCCCAGATGGGCTGCAAGCCCATCAGCTTAGCATCCATATCCCTCATAAAGGGACGCAGGTTAAACGCGTCACGTCCCTTTGCCTTGAACCAGAGAAATGTGGTGGATCTCACGAAGCCTGAACATACGGCATGCATGTAATCTACCACAGAGCATGTACCAAAGCTAAAAAAAGAAAGTAGTAAAAGGACGCTTGACCCTTTTACACCATAGCTTGGTTCGCCTTTACGCGCTTTGCAGGGATGCTGCGAGAACGACTCGTGCGTCCTCCTTTTGGGAGGAGCAGCACCGGCTGGGTACACACGAGAATGCCCCTTCCCCTTTTCCACCACCTCGCCGGGCTCCTCACACCATGCACATCCATATGCGCCGTTAAACTGCGTCATCTGCATGAGTTCACACCTTGCAACGGTGTCCACCGTGCAAGACCCTGGGAATACCTTGGACACTCTGGTATTCCCTCCCTTGTCGGTCCATGAGATGCCACACGACGACAGCTCATTCAATGCTTTCACAAAGGGCACAAGGAATGTATTCATAGATGGTTTCCCTGAACCAAACCAAAGTCCAAACAATTGGAGCTTCTGCATTCGCTCCCTAAATGGAAGTTCATTAACTTGGACAAGCAAGGGCCAAATTCCAAAGTTGCGGCTTTCAAAAAGCGGTACGCCATCAGTGTTAAAGGTTACGGTTAGGTCATCTGCACCCAGTGGGAGCCTACTGCAACCAACTTTCAGTCATGTCTGTGACATCGTACGACAAACGGTGTTTGCCTAGGATGCTGCCATCGATCATCTCAAGCATCTCACAGATTTGGCTAGCAAGATCTAAGGTAGAAAAGTAGGACAACGACTTCACAAGGTCGTTTTCAGAATGCTTCGTACCACACTGGTTACAACAGGCCTCACCGTCGCTAGCAACTAATTCTCCAATGTAACCCATGCAGCTGCTACAGTAGAAATGCCTAGTCTTCCTACCCACACTTCCAGCAAAATGCTTGAAAAAGCAGTATTTTGTTGTAGGATACTTTGCATCCTTCGGTAGATGAGAGTCAATCAGCTTGAGTACGCTCTCCGTGACTTCCTTGGATGAACAGTGTCGAAGGCTGTGGCTCATTACCATCAGGAGACTTTCTGCCATTGACACCTTGGCTGCTGGGTATAGCAGCTCATCGTGAACAGAATTTCAGTCACGTGTTAGAATATTTCACTACATAAAAATAACAAGGAAATAAACGGGCTATGGGAATGCATGATCATATCCAGAAAGCAACCCAACAAAAAGAACAGAAGACCGCACAACACCCCCTTCTTTTTTTTAACATGACCAGACCAATGAAAAAGTGGATAACATAAATAGAAAGAACAAAAAAAACACAGGCTACCTGCTGAACTTTCAACAACCTTGAAAACCCTGACTGACACTGTGGTGGCTGCTCTCTGTAGGTGTTACTAGTGCCACTAAACAAGCTACGCTTCAAAGTAAAGGCACTCGCCCATATTTTGGCTTAAAATCATGGTTGCCAGTTATCTGAAGGTTTATCTGAAATCACAGGAAACCATTTTTTGTCCTCGAAAATGTTTACACAGTTCGAGACAAAGCAAAGCAATACCACATGAGCTTCCGAACACTGAATCTAATGCTGAGGAAGTTGCACTTTTGAATCATAACGATCGGCAGTTTCGTCTGCTCTGCACAAGCACCAAAATGGCGGCACCTACAGCAATGTCGGGGAACGAAGTGCCGATACTCTGCGCAGCTCATTTAGTAGCTCTAGGTGATACATCTGTTGAAAATAGAGTCTGGGAGCAATAATTAAAACGATAGTTGTGTGTTACTGACCTTTTAATTGTGTTTGCAAAAGCAGTCGAGGTCCTATTTGCCAACTTGTGCATCTAAAAAATTCTGCGGAACCCGATATGAAAATAATTTGCCAGAAACACGAAGCAAATGAAAAAGACAGGCCTTGTAAGCACTATAATTTGTTGGCCTAGTTGGTTGAACATCACGAAAATAGAAAGTGCCAAGTAGAAGGACAATTGGAATGCTGCACAGGACAAATGCTTGTCCTGTGTAGTCTTCCACTTGTCCTTGTCTTTTGCGCTATTTTCTTCTTGCAAGCACTCTTAGCTGTAGCCTCCATATCAGCGACCGAAGCCAGCAACAGGATAACAAGACAACAGCAGGTTCCTATTTACTGAAGTAAAAGAAAATGAGAGCAGAGAGTCGGCACCGTTTCTGTGTTCTTCTGTATCTTATCCCTGTGTTTTCATACAGTCCTTTTTGTCCTGTTACCGATGCTACTGTCGAGCTGACGCCATGACGACATGACATAACTCATCATGGCGACTGCCTTTCCTGGTTTGTCTGGAGATTGATTCGGTGCAGAGGCTGGTACATGGTGCTGTTCTTTTGGTGCATTCTTAACTTGTATTTAACTGAGTGTTTCATTAAGTTGAGCTTCCTCTCCGAACGTCCTGTGCAGTGCAAGGCATGTGTGCCTTAAGCATGAAACAGATGAACGGTAAAACTTGGTGCCACGTGTCGTTTGCCGTTAGCTGCTAGGCACGCCACAGGCGCATCGGACAGCTTTATCTGTATCAACCAGACCCGAGCGACGCCACACCGCACAAAAGTGACATAGGGACGCCAGCACCGGTTTCTATGATACTGTTGCATGGCCCGTTTTCGTTGCTCATGTGTCCCCTGCTTTACACTATACTCTTCGCAACTACAGCCTGCTGCTCGCCCTGTTACGGATAATCGAAGAACCATAGGACCATGGACGGCGGCGGAGACGGTGGCAGGGACATTTGGCCCATGGTGCTGTTGTTCTGGTCGGCGTGTTTGTGCATCATGCAGTATTTATTTATTCGTTGACACCGTTGACCTATGGCCGTTACAGGGGTAAGTATTCGGCAAGTGTACACAAAACAAAACTTTTTCAGCCTTTCCACTCTTGTGAAGAAGGAGGACCAGCGAAGCTGTACTCGATACACTGTGTGCTGCTTCTTCGTCGTCGTCTGTTTTTCGCCCTGTTTCCTACGATGAATTCCCACCAACGCGCCCAACTATCCATTCTTCTATAATACCTGGAAAGGTTGCCGCCATCTACGGGAGACGGCGGAAAACCATACTGGTTTTGTGCTTGCCGCCGTCGCTTATGGATGGCGGTAGCTGTCCAGGCAGGTTTGTGTCGACATACACGGACACAAACCCGGAGAACTTAGCCCTTAACAGCTCGGCTGTAACAATTTCGTTAAAATAGGCATTTTCGTGGTCTGCTTTGCAACAGCGCTGCACGAAGAACCGCGATGTCTCATTTCACGGAACTTTTTGTAGATTGCATAAGCTGTGGATTTCGGGTCCTACAGTCGCCAGAACAATCTGTGCTCAACGTGACAGAAAAAGCTCCTGCAAGTATTACAATGATATTGTGTATGCCTTACGAAAAGTCTATTCTTTCGAGAAAAGAGGAGAGAACTGCTCACGTAATGGTGTATTGAGCGGTAGACACCAGAAATGGGTTTGCATTTTCTGCGCTGAAAGAAAGCCAGTGACAAGGAGCACTACAAGTCGCTCCAAGCACTTTTAGAAGACAACCTATGCATACCTGCTTTCGGTCAATCACAAAGGCAAATAAATAAATGCTGGCAGCATTTTCCTGGTGGCAATGCCTTAACCTACGGTAGCCTGCTTTTACTCTATGCTAAAAGTGTCTATTAGTAACCTTAGTGCAAATGGTAGCCTGCGGTTACTCTATGCTACAACTGTCTATTAGTAACCTTGGTGCAGAATGGTCACGTGTTGTTGCAATGCACTAAAACCGCGGAGCTGTGTAATGAGATATGAACCTTTGAAAAGAGAAACTACGAACGCTGTACTACAGGAACTTGACAGTGATCCTGCGCGGCTCAGGTTTTAGAGCACTGGTGGCGAGGCACTGCGCAAATACTGCAATATTTTCATCTCCCACAAAAATATTTTACTGCACACAATGGCGTGACCGGCGCTCAATATGTGCTCCCCTAGTGAAAAAAGTTATTTGTATGAGAAATTTCTCGTGTCCAATAAACACATATGAACCATACAAGATATATAAGAACATATAAGAATCATATGAGAACCAGATAAGAACCATATAAGAATTATATAAGATATATAAGAACCATATAAGAAACTTATAGAAACTTTTTACAAGTTTCTTATATGGTGCTTGTATGTTCTTCTATTCCTTATATAGTTCTGATATAGTTCTTGTATAGTTCTTATATGGGTCTTATATGTTCTTATATATCTTGTATGATTCATATGTGTTTGTTGGACACAAACATTTCTTATACAAATTAGAATTTTCAATAGGGTCGCCCTCCACAAAGCCTTACAAGTTCTGTGATCCGCAACACCTATAAAACATGCTCGTTTTCCTAACGCACATCAGCCTCTCCGTCACCTGTAGTACGTTCCTGCCCTACCCGTTGAGCATTTGAAGCCAAATTAATTAATTTAAGCACACTGACCAGCATCAGCGAGCAGGTGCATAGAAAATCTATCCCCATCTCTTCCGCCACGTTGGAACTACCGCCCCGTCATCTATAGGGCGTTGAAGTTGTGAATATTCATGTGCGACTAGTGAGTGGTGCACTCCGAGTACCACTATATTTGTGTCTGTGATAGCAGACAGCGGCAGCCGCACGGGTCACACTGAATGAGATGGCCACAGTATGCAGCAAATATTTCTCCATTTCAGGTGACATCATGCGTGAAAGTAGTGTCACACTGAGAAAAGGAAACCCAGGACAGAAAGCGTACCGGACTCCTAGTTTTTGCGAATCTCGAGAGTCCGAACACGAGTGCGAAAAACCTCGGTAGCTCTCTGTGAGGAGGCAATGCAAATGACGAAGTTCTCGTGTTGTCTTGGCAACCTTAACGAACATCTCGACAAGACGAGTAGTTGAAGCATAGCTCCCTCTATACTCACAAAGTTTGGCAGTTTAATGACGGAGCCATAGAGTGCCCGGTCACAAATTTGGAGCGCGAGGATCTGGTAGCAGAGATGATTTCTCGGGGATCCTGGTCGTCAGCGCACAGCTTTTGCAGCGGCGAGGACCCGAAACATGGTTTTCAAACCCGACGAGAAAAGAAGCAATAGGCCGAGGAATGCGAGAAGCACGAGCGGACATTCCATTGCTCGGGGCAAGCGTGTTTCGGCGTCTCGCCGCAGCGGAGTGCCCGTAACATGATTCTTGTCTGCCGCTCTACCTTTTCACTTTCAGCGGCCGCGTCTCGTGGCGATCTGGCAGGCTTTGTCAGTATACAGGAGGCTATGGTTAAAGGCACTTTGTCTTGAGTAAGTGTCAACAAAGTGGGCTAGGCCTACCTCGCAGCCAAAGTTCCAATTGTAACAAATAAGATGCCCAAGAGACTGGAATGGAAGTTCCTTGTCACAGAAGAGGCGGAAAATTGGCATCGATAAAGATCATTATTGACGAGCACACATTTTTTTGCCTTGCAGCAATCTCAAAGCTTGTCACTGCCGGTAGTTACCACTGCGAAAAATCAGGCGCATTGCACATTCTCTTATTCACCACTTTTTTTTGTTAATTTGGCATTGTGCAGGTACTGCAGAAAATTTTTTGATCATTACGGTACTGACTCGGCAGCCAAAAAATATCTCGGCTATGCACGCACGCTCAACAGACGAGACTCAAACGAAATTCAAC